TTGAACAAATAAATAAATTTCTCAATTTTTTTTTATTTTTTTTATCTTTGACATTTAAGAAATCATCATATGAATTTTGGTGCCACAGCATGATGATCTGTGGTTTTTATAGCCCATAAAATTTAGCCAATTTTGGCATTTTTATAATAACCTCGCCTGAATTTATATAGTAATTTTCTGTCATTCGTAGGCAGACCGGCTCTTAATAATACTGCCATAACTACTTTAATTTTTATAATTAAATTAACTTTAAATTTCATTCAGCAATTTTAAAGCATAATTTTGGCACTTTAGCTTTAATTGCTGATTTGTCTAAGAACGGCACTGCGTTACTAATAAAATTCAGGATTAAATTTGCCAATTTTGTGCTAGAACATAATCTTCAGAAAAGGATATTTTCATAGACGATATATTAACTATAAATAAAAATCATATGATATACTGAAAAAATACTTGAAAAAAAAAGAATTTGCAAAAAAAAATTATACATTCATTCATATGCAAAATAATGAGTTTACTATGTACGCGCGTCAGATTTATATTTTAAAATGTAAGAAATTTCAATATTTTATTTTACTATATTATGTTATTTACATTACAAACATATATTTTTTGGCTTTCTAAGCTTTTTTTAAAGACTTTTTTTTAAATATTTTTCTTTATAGAACTAGTAAAAAATTGAAGGGTACTTTTATTTGTGAAATGGGTGAAATGGATGAAAGTTTATCCCATGCGTGAGATGTAAAAAACGGGTTTTTTATTATTGTTAATATCCCTGAATTTTATTAGTAACGCAGTGCCGATTTTAGACGGATTGGCAATTAAGTAAATCGACTTTGTAAATTAAGTGAAAAATGTTTAGCAATGTTAAAACTACATGTAATTTAATTTTTAAATTTTTTTGCATCTGATCAACAACTTCAGAGCATAATTTTAGCACTTTAGATTTAAGTAAATTGACTTTATAAATTAAGGGATAATTAGGGTGCTATCAGATATTACCTAATATTTTAGGGGAGGGGGTAACTAAAGATCTTAGGTTACATACAATACTATATAAGAAATTATATATATAACATATCTTACCTAGAGGAGGGGGGTAAGCTCTTATATTAAAGTGATATTAAGTAATATTTGACAGTGCCTTTATTCAGCATAGTCAAATCTACTCACATATCAATTATTATGAATTTTTGATTAATTCTTATAGCGCAATTAGTATTTATATTTTATACACCTGATCTGTAATTTCAGAAGTAATTTTGGTATTTCAGTATTAAATAAATCACTTTTGTAAATTAAGTGAAAAGTGTTCAGCATAGTTGATCTACTTATATCTTAAATTACATGAAATTTTAACTAATACTCATGACGCAATTGTCATTATTTGTAATAGTACTAATTTTTGATCTTTTATTAAATACATTAACTTTAAATAAAAATTCAAATTGAATAATAAAGAATATGTGAATATTTTTTTAATGAAATTGTAAAAGTGTTCATAAATTAAAAATTTTTTTTAATTAAACTGATTATATTGTATAAATATGATGTTATATATAATCTAAATTTTTTCATTTTAACTAAATTTAAGCCAACATTATGAATCTGGCCAGAATTAACAAAATTTTGGCCAGAATTATGAATTATTGATTTGTTCCGATTTGGCTAACTTTAATTATATACATATATTGTATACTTAAAGAGGATAATGTACCACAAAATTTTTTTTACCAACCTTAGTGAAAAAAATTTGCCTTCTTTTTTTGTGACATTTCCAGTAACTGATAATTAATCCCGTAGCAAGTTATTTAAAACAAGTAATAAAACCTGTTTATAAGTAAAACACGTAAGTACACGTGTACACGTAAAGCACATTTTGGGATCTAGCCAATCACAGTGTTTCAAAACATTTAAATTGTGGCCAAATAGGGGGAAATTCCGTTATGCTCTTCTCGCTTTCCCTACTCTTTTTATTTTTGTTCCAGCGCGTTTCAATTCGTCTTCAATAAAGCAATAAAAGTTGTGTCGGTCTGTTCTCTGTTGTCTCTGTTGTATGTTATAAAATTTTTGGCGCTTAGGCAGTATAACGTATGTAATTGACTTTTTAAGTAAAAATAAAAATAAATAAATAACATTCCTTCCCTTTTCCCTTTCTTCCCCATTCACTTCCTTTCGTCCCTTACTTTCCCTTATCCTTTTCCCCTTTCTCCTTTCCCTCCTATAGCTCCGAAACCTTTGTCTATTCAAATTTTTTTACTTTTTTTAACAATAAATAAAAGCGGTGGATAATATTTATTATTTGAATCTTTCATTTTTATTTTATTGTTTTTCAAAAGAAAAATTTAATAACTCTTCTGCTTTTACATAAAATATAGTATTTCGACATGAACAACATCAACGTGATTTCAGGCAGCGTAAGTGGACGCAGATGCAGGAGTGGTCGAAGCAGAGTAAGAAAAATATTATTAAGAAGCGGTCGATATTACTATCGTGCTGAAAAGAACATAGTTTCTACGGGACAACCAGCCGTAATTCCGGGCCGCGTAAGGCAGGGCGTGAGTGGGAAGTATCCGTTTTTATTTTAAATACATACATCAGTAAAACAATATGTCATATTTATCGCATACGGGAATTCCCTTGGAATCACCGGAAGCGACATATTTTTATTATCCGAAATTGTTGATTATCGAGGCACAAAATAGAAATTCCTCTTTTGGATGTGAAATTTTTTTTTATTATATATAATTCTTTAAAAAAAAGAAGTTGATAGAAAATATTTATATAATCATTGAATAAAGTATATTGTTAAATTTATGCGAACCTACGCCAACGGAATGATTTTTTTTTTGTTGATCTACCGATGTTCCCATCACGTGACAATGGCGAACTCTACGATACTTTTATTAATGATAATTTTTTGTTACACAAAAAATAAAAATCGTAACTCCTGAAATATAATCATAATTAAATACCATAGTTAGAAGATTGTTTATACTAACCAGTAAATTATCAGGATAAATATATATATATAAGTTATCTTTATTTTAAATAAATCAACTAACAGCTATTTAGCTGTAAGATCGAAAGCTAACAGTTAATTACTAAGTAAAATTTTTATCCATTTCAGTAAGTGGTGTTTGCTATTTTGCTGTAAGAACGAAGATCGTGTCCAATAAAGTATTCTGAAATAAGACTTTTAACATTCTTTTGTTTAGTTTGAACGAAATTGAAATTTAAGTGGAACTAATGATTTCGTTTGTCTATTATTTTAATTCGGAAAAAAAATATTGAAAATAAAATAAGTAAATTTAATACTATCTAGTATTTAAAAAAAAAATTTGAAAAAATGCACTATTAATTTAAATAAATTTCAGTACTGAATATAATAATAATTGGCGACGGAAAGAAATGAAAGGACTTAAATTTAAATTCTTTTAAATTCAGAAATTCAACTTTAGCTCATAGTTTAAATATAAATCTGTGATCGATTGATCGACACAATCTGTCACCCACGTATTAAACTAAACATTCATGTCACTTGCCTCTAATTTTCGATCGCCAACCATCTTTTGAGCTTGTATGAAGACGACATTGAGCGAATGCGTTTGTCTCGTCTTCGGAACAACCAGCCGATTCCAGACAGCGTAAGCCCGGGAAGTGGACGCAGAAACGGGAAGGGACAAAGACGTCGCCTACTCCAGACATAGCGGATATGCTTATACCACTTTGCCGATCATTTGCCGATCACTTAATTCCGGGTTTTAAAACTTGTTGAAAAGCCACAAATATTTTTAAAATAATGTGGCAAAAAAATAATGGAAATCCAAGTTAAAGCATTAAATTATTATATAAATTTAAGAGTAAATTTATTCATCGCACGTGCGATGCATCGCCACTTTCCTTTTTTGTAAATTATTTATGTTGATCAACCTGCTTATACATCGCCACCCCCTTAAAATGGCAATGATAAACATAAAAATTTGCATCGCACGTGCGATAAATAAATTATTTCTAAATTTAATTATGTGATTATTAGCAAAATTTTTTAATATTGTTATTACATTATTCGTATGTGATGATTCAGTCATTTTTCCCAACTATAAGTCAAAAATTGATCTGCGAAGATGAATATTTATCTGCGAAACTTAAAACTTTGTACAAAGATTCTTTATGTTATATATAATATATAGCAAAAATAATGTAGTGATCTGATCCATAATTCCATAATGCAAGTTTCTTACTAGTAAGATATTTAGTATATAATTTCACAAAATGAATAAATAAATGTCAAATAAATTAGTGCCACAAAATTAAGTAAATACCACAATATAATTAGTAAATTTTATTAGTTTTATTAGTTTTTTAAAAGAATCTACAAATTATAAATAATTAATTTTATGCAAAGATTATGTCAATTTATATAAATATTTATCTGGTTTAATAAAAATAATAATAAAAGTTAAAAAGTTGCTACTAATAAAGTTACTCAATAACAACCCAACTTTAATAAAATTAATATACAATAAATTGAAACTAAATTTATATTATTTGTAAATTTGTGCATATATTATTATGTAAAATTTCAACAACAGCAATTATATATGTGACATAACTGAATAAATGATCCAAATGGTTATCAAAATTGTGATAAAATAGGGATGTCCGCTATGCCTGCTACGCCTGAGAAAGAGACGAAGTTACGCTCATGATCAAGAAAAGCGTTATATTTATCATCAGCAGAATCATCATCTACTCCTTCAACACCTCGGCATCATTGTTCTTCAATAAATAATAGTAATGCATCGATTGCCAGGTCTTTCAAAAAAATCATCACCACAATTTTAATAATCCTTTTACACAACAATAATGTTTCTTTGATTCACAGTTTACGCTTAATCTCTACCGAGAAATATTATTAGATCTTTTAATAGTATGCGTTATTTACTTTTCAATTCAATTTCTATTGAATGCACTCTTGACCGCAACTGAAAACTAACCTACAAATCGCCAACTCGTTTTACGAGATGGCCAATATTATTATCAACCATAACAAGTAATACCAAATTATGTAACACCGACATCGACATTAAAATCACACACAACAAATCCATCACCATACGTACTTCTTCACGTTCCTCCTCTCCCTTTGGATCTCCAATTCTTTGGTGCCAATCTTTTAGATATTCTAAATTAAAAGATCCTAGCATTTGAGTTCTATATTCAAGAAACTACCAGATCCGTTTTTAGGAATGACTAATACTTTTCTACAAGCATAATCCAAATGAATTTCTGGGGATGCCCCATGGGTCTTAATTCACATGTCCTGGCAAATAATGATTCGGTTCAAGGCCTCGACAATAAATACTAGCTTCATAGCTTCCTTTCCAATGGATCTTCTGTTAGAACTGTCGATTCTAGTTCAGTATAAGGAGATTCTCAACGCAGGGATATCTTTTCAGTACATCCTTTCTGCAACTCAACTAAAGTCTTTTCACTTGCCTTTTCGAAAATATCTACCGAATTACTTACGGGATCAGATTATGTGTCAGAATATTATTTCTCAGAATGTTATTATTGGTATAGTTTGAGGGAAATCAATTTTACTATTTGTTATTTAATCGTCAGAGAGAAAATTTTTCAACACTATTGCTATATATCGCTCTACGATTATGAGAGATTCATGATATGGCGGATGATCATCCTGTTAGACAGTAGCGTATGAAAATTGCTAATATCACTACTATGATTGTTGTTAAAGTAGTGCTGGCAATACACAAAGAAAACCTGTCTTCTGATGATATTATTGATGCAAACCCCTCATTAGATTGTATTAATTTAGGAAATAATACTTCAAATATCTGTTAGAGAAAATGGAGAGGAAAATGATTTCTCACGGCTTTAGTTACAACATAGATTTGATCGAAATGATGGTCTAAACCACAAACACACAGTGACACAGCATATGGATTCACTTTAGTTGTATGATTCTAAGTTGCTGTTGCGCATACCAGAATCAGATATGGCTTTGTCCTTATGAAACCATCGACGGTATAATTTCTGATGAATATAAGAGGGCACTCTTCTTAATTACAAGATCGCCGCAATCTCTGCGCTCGAAAGGTTACCAGATGAGCATGTGCTACTCGGCACTCCACATTTGGTGTGATTTCTGGGTTGAAATTAGACGCTCGAATAAGACGAACTAAACCAATCAATCGATGCGTTCTGCTACAGCAATAATTATGGGTACAATTATTTATGAAGCGCCTGTTATTAAAGAGGTCACTCAAAAAGAATCGTCACCCGGTAAACATATCATTAATCTTGAAGACATTTCATTGACCTCCATGAATCGCAGCAGCACCAACGCCGGACAATCGTTAAATCTTCGCTCAAGTGGCTGTCCAGAGAAATTCGTCCCTATAAAAAAAAATTTTTCAGGAAAATTATCACGTGTCTGAGTTTCTTCGGAATAAAGAGTTTTTTCCAGAATTTCTTTTATAGGGTAATAGTGGGTATCCTCCTCCTCCTCGTCATTATTATTGTCACCATCACCACCATCTTATCATTATCATCACCATCATCATTACCATCATCATTATTATCCCCATCATAATTATCATTATCGTTATTATTATCACCATCATCATAATTATAATTACCACCATTATTTTCATCAAAATATAAACACAAGGACTGCAGGAACCCAACTTTCCATTGACTTTTGGCATAAAAAACAAGTAACATTATCTGGGGAATTCATTGACGGCAAATCTTAGTAATTTATATGAAGGCAATATCCCTATAAAAAATTTTTCGGAAAAGTGATCACATGTCTGAGTTTCTTCGAAAGAAAAACTAAAAAAAAAAGATAGTTTTTCCAGAATTTTTTTATAGGGTATAGGTTTTCTGATTTGATCGGTAAAAATTGGCTATTACTTTATATAGTTTTACACGTGATTCCCTGTCACGATTATAGGTAATTCCATTGATACGAGAGACAAGTATACAATGATTGTAAATATAATAAATGTCATTAGGGCGGCCAATACGTGATCCTATTGTCCCTCCATTATTCATTAATTTACAAATGTATTTCATAGATTCGTAAATTAATATCATAACATAACTGATCTAGCGTTATCTAAAATCGAGGTTGACACCTGGTTCCTTTCGAGCATTGACTTTATCCCCCCTGTTAAAAACGTCTAGACCAGTTGCCTAATGCTAATATTGTTGCCAAGTCTCCTACGTTCTGTAAGAAAAAGGCAGACAGTACTCTAATATCTTTTACAATTTGAAGACTTTACCACTGATTTAGCTATGGTATCTGTATGTGGTAGCTTCGATATCAGAAACAATACAAGTTTATTCTTAGGATCATCCCTCCAAGTTTGGGTTCTATTTAATAAGCACTGTAACACATTATATGGAATCTTCTTCATATCGTCCCACGTAAAGCTTTTTTGCTGAAGATTTAGAATGTGATCTAGCTATTTTGTATTCCTTCGGATATCTACATTCTAAAGTGTATCCTGAGCTAGATGACTTAATTGTTGTAATATTCACCTTCATTAAGTCCGAAGGTCTACTTGCTGTAACTTCTCAATTCTTTAATATAATCAAGTGAAGGTAATAAAGTCATGTGCTAAACTGCGTTAGATGATCTTATATAATTATGGAAGAATATTAATTTAGGATAATCCGGAGAGTCACAAATTAATTCCGGAACTTTTTCCGGAGGTTTTTCTGATTCAATATTGCGAACAAAGAAATCAAGGACAAGACTTGTCCGACAATTCTTCACTATCAGAAGTGAGTGTTAGAATTATTTTCGGCTTTTTTTTTGTATTGTCCACCTTTCGGATAATTCCGTTGTTGGCTGTCTGTTATATCTGTAGATATGAAAAGGTTGATAGTTTTCTGAAAAGCCTTTATTTTGGTACCGTGTCCTGACTCCTGAGATAGTACTTGCGAGAATTTTCCATTCAGATTTCGTAGTTGTGTCTCCTCTCTATTCATTAACTGACTTAATATAATATATATAAAATAATTTTTCTTTATCATTTAACTTAAAAAATTTTTTCAACCTTGTTTAAAGAAAAAAGAAGGTTAAAAAATCTATGAAAAAAAAGAAACGTACCTACTTTTAATTGAATTAGGAATATGGTCTTAAGCGGAGAACAATATGGTAGTTGCTCCAACAGGTGATGCTGGTTTTGACATTGAAGGCAGCACTATACGTTCGTCGCTTTCTGTTCCCATATGCGGGGTAAAAGTTGAGCTTGAAGGTGAATCTTTAAGAAACTCCAAAGAAAACTAAATATATAGAATATTTAATAATCGATGAAATGAGTATGGTAGGATGCCGTTTTCTTGCTATAATTGATTTACGACTGCGACAAGCATTCCGGATCACTACAATATTCCCTTTGGTGGCCGATCCATAATTCTTGTTGGTGACTTAGGGCAGCTTCCTCCGGTATGTGGTGCCCATGTATTCTCAGGCTCTCGAAAATCAGATCATTTATCTGAGGATGGTTGTAGTGCCTATAGTCAATTTCAAGAAATTTATAAACTTGAGGCTATGCAAAGACAAACAGGTAACTCGGATAAACAACAGCAATTCAAAAATCTGCCATATCACTTACGTGATGGAAAGTCTACACGATCCGACTAGGAATTATTAATGACGCGGATTCCAGAAATATTCTTGAATCAGAAAGAAAAACTTCTTCAGATGCCATCAATGTCATAACAAACATGTGAAGAAGTGGATAAAGTAAATTTGAATAACTTCGATTATTAAACCAACCCGTTGCTAAGATTCATGCGGTACATACGGGTGGATCTGAAGCTTCTAAAGCCGATCCCGAAACTCCAAAAGGAATTGAAGCTGAAATATTATTATGCAGAATGCTGCTGGTCTTATAACAGATATTTTATATAAAGAGAAGCCCGAGTACACCTCTTTACCTGCAGTTATTTTAGTTTTATTTGACAGTATAATAGGGAATATAGAAGGGATTCCGGTTGTACTTATTGTTCCTATAAGACGTAAAACCGGAAGTTGCTTTCGCTTGCAATTTCCACTTTCTCTTGCGTGGGCCACAGCTCATAAATCGAAGAAGGAATTTGCGGTTGGCTTGTCATTTGTAGCAATTTTCCGTGTTCGTTCTCTTGATGATATTCTTTTCAAACACTTTAGTTTTAACAGACTTAGCGTATAAAAAATTGTAAAAAGTTGAAAGAGCGAATAGCAGAAGAAACTATTAAAATTTTCTCGTTCTTGGTTTTTATTTTTTAGATTATCAGAATATCAGTTACAAAAAAAAATGTTATTAGTGATACAATGGAGTGAAATAATTAATGGCTAAGATATGACAATATAATTTCCTATCCCATCGGTATTACGTTCAATTACCTGCTCCAATCTTGCAGACATGCTATTTACTGAATTAACATATCTTTTTTTCAATCCCCCCATTCCTTTCCATAAATTTTCGATCAGATTGAAGCCATCCAGTCCAATATTTCTGGATATTTCTAATTAGATTTATGTTTAGGGTACTGGAAAATCCAGTACAGAATAGCATCAGCATTATCAAAAAGATTTTTAACTAAAATTTCATGATAGAAGGTACCATTTATAATACATGTGAAAAGAAAAAATCCAATTGTTCCTTTTGCCAAAAAAGTACCTCAAGTATGAACTTTATAGGTATTTTACCATAGATTTTTGTGAACTTTATAAAAATGCTATTGAGTGTTTTAAAACATTTGAAAGGTAATTTCATTGGAAAAACAACTTGTTTCCAATTTTAGTTTTTGTATTTTATTATCCATTTCATACAGCATTATCTATGAATTTCTATAAGAAGTGGTACAGTTTTTGACATTAAGAATTATTCTCAAGTAAACATTAAGGTCAAATAATAATTATTTAAGATTTCTGCAAATTTAGAGCATATTGAATATTTGTTTTCTGAAATAAGCTGATTAAAATAATGTTATTTTTTAAAGTTAACTTTTTAGTCGTTCAAATTAAGGTAAAAAGTTTAAAAAAATACCTTTTTAAGTTTTTTCAAGTAATTATAAATAGTAAAGAGTGGAATAGAAGTCATTTATGCAAAGTTTTAATGTTTTAAATGCCAAAGCTTCATAAAAAGATTATTGAATCAATAGCACTTTAAAAATTAGACTAGTAAAAATAAACAGATCATCATATAACAATATTAAAAGTATTATAAAATATACAATATATATTGTTAAATAAGAAATGTGGCGCAGTAATTTTATGTAGATTATTTCATAGATCTCTTGATTTTTTTGATAAATCTGATAAATCTGATATATTTAATTTATTTATTTTATTAATTTTATTTGTAATAGTTATTTCATAGAAATCCGTAGATATTATTAATTTTCACAGCATAGCTATAAAAATAATGACATTCATAGATATAGATATTCTTATGAAATAACTGTTTTATTCTCTAGAGACTAACGTCCTATGATAAAAATAATTTATAAAAAGCTTATTTTATTATATTTTTATTTATAAAAGCTTATTTTATTACATTTTTATTTATAAAAGTTTATTTTATTACATTTTTATTATAAAAAGCTTATTTTATTTAAAAAGTGTGTCACGTTGTAACCATGGATATCGAACTTAATGGAATAGAAAGTCACATGATCGGATAAATAATTAGCCAGAAAGGATAAATGTTTAGGAGAAGGAATGATCTACATGATGTAATGTTTATTAAATGATTAACGACGAACCAATAGATCAATCAGAGGGTCGATCGATGCGGCTTAGCAACCAATTTATCAAGTTCGTCAACAGGAATAATTAGGGTGAGGAACTATAAGCTACAAAAGATAGATTATGGGACAATATGAAAAGATAATATAAAAGATAATATGGAAAGATGATACAAAAAGATAGCACAGCCACAAAAGATGGATTATAAATTATTTCTTTACAATGTAATATTTGAAAGAAAGAAAAGATAACATATAAAATAGTATATAAAATAGCATATAGAAAAGATCATATATAAAAGATAGCATACAAGATAGCGTATAAAAGATAACACATAACATAAAATATTAGAAAGAAATAAGAAGTAAGAAAAGAAAGAATAAGAAAGTTGGTTTAAATAGGAGCGGAATGGAAAGTGAATTCCACAGTCGCAAGTAAGGATTTTGAATTTTAGGTAATTTAGTTGGTTGTGAATTTTATGAAGATCAAAATATAAATAAAGTACTTTTTACCTATTAATTAATGATTATCGACTCTTTTATACTGTTTTCTTATGATGAAAAAGTATGTTAAATAATGAGTTCCTTCACCATTTGATATATGAAAAACGCACGAACATAATAGTTCGGTTAGTCGGAATGTACACAATCATATGGGTGAAGGGTTCATAAATGTTTGTAAAAATGTTAATTATTTTGAATATACTTATGGTTCACCTAAGTTTTAATTAATGTTAAATAAGTATTCAAATGATGAAGTAAATATGAATATAAAGAATTAGAAAATGATGAAAATTAAGTTAAAGATTTAAAACTAAACCAAGCAAGAATATTAATGTTTCGCTGAGAACACATATAATAGAAGCAGTGAACTTTATTTACCGCCAGGTGGCAAACGGGGGTGACAACGTCTAAACTATACTTCTCCGCTAATTAATTATGTCATATTTTGGCAAATAGACCAATTCACTATTTAT